GCTGAACATGGGGTTTAGGCTCCTAAAACCCACTCAGGTGTTCTCAGTGATGGTACTGCCAGGGGCTGGGGACACCCGCGACCACAGTGCATACATCCAGGACCAAGCTGGCTGCTCATGGAGAGACAGAGCTTCTCTTTATATTGCGGTGTTTCCTCCCGTGCCTACAAGATGCCCCTCACAGTGGAAATCTGAAAACATACTGCATACCGCCGAACAGTCAGCGAGCTGGCAGAAGGACCTCCCTTGCAACGACAAACCCCTCAGCCCAAAACAGCTTCTGTCACTAGGAACGCACTGGCAAGGTCACCGATACCGGGTGCCACCTTGGATCTCCCCAGCAGCGGAGCCCCGAGGCTGGCCCTCCTCTTACCTTGGACCAGTGCCATCTTTTTGAAGTCGGGGCCAGCAGCGCTCTGGTTGCTCAGCAGCTCATACTGGAAGCTGGCTGTCCGGCAGCTGATGTCCCTCTGCGGGCTGGCCTGCAGGAAGAGGGCCACTCGTTGCAGCGTGTGGGCACTGAAGCAAGACACGTGGTGGGGCCGAGCCCCTTCCGCCTCGCTTACCACCAGATGCAGCTGCCCAGTACGTTCCACGTAGATGCTGGCACCCTGGAAGTCACTGGGGGGCTTGATGCAGACAGTGGTGTGCCGGGCACTGGAGAGGCTGGGCTCCAGAATGACACACAGCACTCGTGCCGGGTCCATCCATTCCAGGGAGCCCTCAGTGCAGCACAGATGGACCTGCTCCCAGCTGAAACCACTGCCGAGACAACACCATCAATCCATCACTAGTGATACCCACAGCACAGGCAGAACGGAACAGCCGTCACCGCCATGCCAGCTGCCCAAAGATCCAGGTCCTACTCCCAACTCTGACTCTGCCCTAACGACTCTGAGTTAATTTGCTCCAGCTGGGCTGCCCTCCCCACCCCACCTCTGCAGCCATGGGGAAGAGGGGGGATTGCTCACAGCTGGTGCTGCAGGGGAAGGAGCCTCAGCCCCTTTGGCTACCGGCAAATCCGTGCTCGGATGCCTGCAGCACCCAGAAAAACGACAGAGGGCAACTTCTTTCTGCTAAATAGCAACAAAAACTTGCTGTAGGACAGGACTGGCCAATGCTCAGCTCTCCAGAAAATCCCACCCGCAGGTGGGCAGGGGTGAGAGCCACTGACTGGCAGCAGGAGCTGCACAACGAGTACTGATTTTATGCCTGAAAAATTGGGTTCAAAAGCCTAAATTGCTAAAATTATTTTTAACGCTTCTGATAAGAATTCATCAAGAAAACGTCCCTAATCAAAGCGGGCTGTGCTGCCCCTGCTTCTGAGCTCTTGCTCAAGCCGAGGCAATGTCATTACTTTCAGAAAAGTTACTTTTGCTTATGTCACTTATGAAAATCAAATCCGTGACAGCAGAATTAGGTAAAAGGAAAGGAAAAGACAAGAAAACGCAGCGGAAAGGGATGCAATCTGTGAGAAAGCCTTGTTGCGCGTTCTTCTGTCGGTCAGAAAAGAGAAACCCCCCGGCTGCTCCCTCGCTGCAGCCACCCGGGGAGAACCCCGGCGCCTGCTTCCCCGCGGGCAGGGCTATAAGTGGCGGCGGGGGGACCGGGGGCGACCGGG